CCGCATGTCATGACCAATAAACTGTAATAAAATTTAAATTTATTTAAATGTTCAAATTTAACAACATAAACACCTCAAACCATCAAATATCAGTCAAAAATGTAGAACATGGGGAGATGACAAAAAAATATAAATCAACATCACAAAAATAGTTCATAAATTCAACAATATACGATACATGTGTTTTCATATCAAGAAGGTTTGTAATAATGTGTTAGCCTTTATGAGGCAAATTATTTCGCTCTCAAATTTGGAGTAAATGAATAGAAAAAATGTGTGCCAGGCACTAAGTTTAAAATGACAGGTAAGCAAAATCGTCTTTAGTCGAAATAATGGATATTGCGACAATAACTGATGACTAAATTGATTCTTCAATAGACTGATTCAATTTTTTTGCTTAGTACTGTGGAATACTTTATTTTCGCTGGAATTAATTTTCGCTGAAAAGGCTTTTTGGGCGTTTTGTATAAAATTTATTTTCACTGATTTTTGATGAGTTTAATGTGAAATATAGGAAAAAAAGTATATTCGTTGGATTTTATTTTCACGGAATCATCCCTTCAGCGAAAATAGCGAAAATAAATTCCAAGCGAAAATAAAGTATTCTACAGTATTTTCATGGACGTACTAGTACGTCCATGGTATTGTTTAACAAAATAAGATGTTTTGTTGTTTATATGTCAGTTTTTGAGCATCAAGAGCCAAAAAACACAAGGAAAAAGTTTAGTCTTACAACAGGTATAAAACGTCTATGTAAAAATATACGAGGACAGCCTGTTAGACTTGCAGACCTGGATAGTAATGCATAAGGCATATTTGAGGTATTTCATCAGACAAATTGGGCCAGAAAACTGATAATAGTCTAGTAGAATACTGTGGATTGGTCTGTACATAAACAAAGTTGTTACCTATTGTATATTGAATATCGTACTGATATTTTTTATATTCAAGGGATTTATGTTTTTGTGGTATTTTAATGTCAAGCCATGGTGTTACTAGCCATAATTCCCTGCTGCCAACCTTCAAAGCAGCTGGCCTGAAAGTTTCAGTTGAGAAGGGAGTTTTTTTACGCAGCGATGTTGTGAAACAGGTGTGGTTCTGGATGCTACTGGAATAAGAAAATTCTTATATTGACTTTGCTGAGCTACTACTAATGAATGTAGGTAACACCCTGGGATCGATCGAGGGGTTATTGTGAATGCGTATATAATCTGTCCTAGGGTGTTATCTATAATTATTTTGGTAGAGCCTTTGATCTGAACAATCATTTAAATAGCAATAAATAACTATCAATTAAATGGCAGCAGATATAATACGTCTATGCTGTTAACTGTTTAAAACAGGTTAAAATAAAATCATAATAAAATAAATACACGTAATAAATATGAATATTATATTTTTAGTTACCTTTTTATTTATATTGGTATTTGAAAAAAAATATAATACAAAAATATTTCTGGTTAATTACTTCCAATTTTTATAGCAGTCTTCATTTTGAATTCACAATAATTCTGACTTTTTAATAAAAGGTTAATATGTTGATGATACTGTGCAATGCAAGTAGTAACTTACCAGACTACTTGTTACATCATTAAAGCATGTCTCTTATATTATTACAATTCCTGTCAAATAAGTAATTTGAGTTACATACCAAATACAATTAGGAAGGTTTGAATCGAACTGAAGTTTAGTTGGAAGTTCCTTTAAGGTTTGAATCAAACTAAAGTTTAGTTGGAAGTGCCTTTAAGGTTTTCTTTATTATTGGTGACTAGCGATAAAGGAAATTCAATATTAAATAAAATGGGATCACATGACAGTTTTTTGAGAAACAGTCTGAAATGTGATGGAAAACTTTAACATTTTGTAATATTGCACCAGTTTGTATGGTGAGATTACTTCTTCATATCTCAACATTTTGCTGGGTAACTTGGGATGAAAGGTCATATTATGACTGATATAAATCTTTGTGAAACATTTAATTTAGTCAGTTTCCAATGTGAATGGGTTTTCAATTATAATAATTAATATGTTGCATCCCATAATATACTGCAATAATGTCAACATCATCATTTGTTATAAGAATGACACTGTGAATGCATTATTCACTGGGTTTTAAATTTGCTATTTTCACTGATCAATTAAATTTGCTATTTTCACTGATCAATTAAATTCGTTATTTTCACTGATCAATTAAATTCGTTATTTTCACTGATCAATTAAATTCGTTATTTTCACTGATCAATAAAATTTGCTATTTTCACTGATCAATTAAATTTGCTATTTTCACTGATCAATTAAATTTGCTATTTTCACTGATCAATTAAATTCGTTATTTTCACTGATAAATTAAATTCGTTATTTTCACTGATCAATTAAATTTACTATTTTCACTGATCAATTAAATTTGCTATTTTCACTGATCAATTAAATTTGCTATTTTCACTGATGAATTAAATTTGCTATTTTCACTGATGAATTAAATTTGCTATTTGAACTGATAAATTAAATTTGCTATTTTCACTGATCAATTAAATTTGCTATTTTCACTGATCAATTAAATTTGCTATTTTCACTGATCAATTAAATTCGCTATTTTCACTGATAAGTTAAATTTGCTAAATTAAATCCACATAAACATGTAGAACAACAATCTAACTCAGTGAAATTGCTGAAAATAGTGAAATTAAATGCCAGTGAAAATAAATGGTTTTACAGTATATGGATACAATGCGACATTAGGTAGAGTAGTGAGGGGAAGGGTTGCTAGACAGAAATACAATGTGACATTAGGTAGAATAGTGAGGGGAAGGGTTGCTAGACAGAAATACAATGTGACATTAGGTAGAATAGTGAGGGGAAGGGTTGCTAGACAGAAATACAATGCGACATTGGGTAGAATAGTGAGGGGAAGGGTTGCTAGACAGAAATACAATGTGACATTAGGTAGAATAGTGAGGGGAAGGGTTGCTAGACAGAAATACAATGTGACATTAGGTAGAATAGTGAGGGGAAGGGTTGCTAAACAGAAATACAATGTGACATTAGGTAGAATAGTGAGGGGAAGGGTTGCTAGACAGAAATACAATGCGACATTAGGTAGAATAGTGAGGGGAAGGGTTGCTAGACAGAAATACAATGCGACATTAGGTAGAATAGTGAGGGGAAGGGTTGCTAGACAGAAATACAATGCGACATTAGGTAGAATAGTGAGGGGAAGGGTTGCTAGACAGAAGCTGGAGGTTTAGCATTATATAATAATGTTTACACTTGGACTGTACTGTAATCTAGTTCTGGCCACAAGGTGAAAACAATTCAGATCTTTATTATAGAAGTGAGAGGGTGGGAAGTGTGCAAATACAAATGTTTTATTTTTGATAATGAATTTCCTTGTATGCAAAGTAAACACACCTATGATGTAATCAGAATAAATAATCTATTACATTCTGTGACTGTTTATTTGAAATCCAAAATATACGTATAAGTTTGTACTCAAGCATCCCAAGTACGACCCCACCAACAACGTCAAGTACATGGTGTCTGCCTAGAAGAATTCGAGATATACAAACGCTAGAAGACCATAGTATAACAACAAAATACATCCATTTAAATGTAAATGTGAATTCAAAAAGAAACAGACACATCACCATGACAACCCTTGAACTATGCCCTGATGGGAATGAGTAGGCGTCGATGGAGACTGTAGCGAACATATCCTTCTTGTTGCCATGTGGACGTTGTCTCTTTATTGCAACTTTTACTGTAGCTGTAATGACTAGATCCAATATTTGACCTGTATAAGGTGAAAAAAAGTACAAGATTTTGATGAAACCACAGACCCTAAAAACATGCAATATGTGGGATGTTCCTTTCATAAAACCTTAGTTAATGTGGCATAAACATGGTAATATTACGGTATGTTGCAAAGTCCTTCTGTAACTGCCTACAATGAGAGGGATTTTGGTGTATGCAATTATTTTGTGCCTGCTGTAGGTGGACGCTTGAGGAATTGAAATTGTGTATCAAATTAATGTTCATGTCTATTTATAAGGTCTATTACCAAAATATCCACATACAAAAAATAAAGGACTGCAAATACAAAGTGAAAAGTAACTAATTCACTCAGTATTTGTCCTACTGAAAACAGTGTATTGAACTTATCTATGATGCAATGCACACATTAATTTCCATGGCAAGGAATTTGATAATTTATGGCTTTGTATCATAAAACTTTCCCTGCTACAAAATTTCTTTACTTTCACAGATTTATAAAAATGCTTCTTGCAAAATTTACAGTATTTTTTTTCTCTATTGGAAAAGCGTTTTGAAAATACAAAAACATGTTTATATGTAAATCTAAACAATTTAACATTTCAGATGGATTCATTGACATTAATGAGTTCTCAATTTTTAATCCAATATAAAAAGGAAACTGAACCATTTTGAACTATAATGAAACAAAATTGCCTAAAAGTAAACTATGACCTGTTAAATTTATAACAAGAGTGTTTTAGTACTTCAGTACAAATATAATCTGATGCAAATAAGACAAAAGTGGCATACCCTAAATTGCTAAACAAAAATCAGTTTAAATTCACCATGCAGTTATATGCAATATTGTATTTGTATTAGAAGTGCATGTAATTCATTTCATTCATTTGGTCAGGTCTGGTTGGAAAGGGTCTATCCAGTAGGGTACAGTTTTTCATATTTTTTGTTAACTTGTCTAGGAAATATGAATTGACACATTCATATTTGAGCATACCTCGCATTTTATTTTTTGGGTTTAATTATTGGTGTGCAGATGAGCATTTTACACATAGGATTCCACAGTTAATGTCTGTAGACTTGTTGCAAAGTGTTGATCGTACATAATGCCCATTTCACTATATAAACCATATTCCATTAATAGGATCAGAAACAACACGTCTCTTACAAACTGCTTTTCCTGAGCAACAATTCAATAATACTTTTGTTTTCAACTGCAGTACTACACAACCACAAAAGTTTGATAATCTATTCATGTGTTCAGATACTGGGTCGTATCCTTGCTCAAAATAATGCAAATTATAAAACTGAAACAGCCTACTAATCGAACAGAGACGAGTCTTTGGCATTTCGAAGTGTGGATGATTAAATTTAATATATGCTTGCATTACACTACCAAATTGTATCAACTCTATAATTTAAATTATTTCAATCAATGATAATTCCCTGTATCATGACCAAGTCATTGCACTCATAGATGTCCACATTCACGACTTCAGTAATGTACAACATGAATAGAATATCAGGCCTACAGGGTCTTGTAACGTTTCCAAGTCAGTATTAATAGGGCAACGTAACATCTGCAAACCCTTACAGCGAGTACCAAGCACGTTATTCTGATGTGATTTTATGGTCAAAAATGCAGTTTTCCCTGATTCTTGGAGGCTAATTCTAAAGGTGATACATGTATTTATTAAATTGGATGAGTAAAATATTCCTGTTCACGGCGCTAGTGGGCTGGTCCTTTTTGAATTAGTGTTTGTAGCCACACTCGTGTTGATTTCATGAAATTAGTTGTCTTTCCTTCTCGTACCCACGGTACTCGCTGTATGTGTAATACTGCACTTCAGTAATACTGACTTAGAAACGTTACACGACTCTGTGGTAAGGCACACAACAAAGGTCGAAGTGAGGGCGCTGCACGCAAGAGTTTCACGTTTGATTCAATCATTGACTGGCTGACTCACCTGCCAATAAATTTATAATAAATTGACACTCGTTTGAATTATTTCTTGTAACATAAAGTAGAACAATAAGCGAGACTATCCAGGGTACACCATGGCCACTGATTTCAAGTAATTTCATGAGCGGTCTTAGCTGACCGAATTTGGAATCTGTCGTCGCACAAACGCTGAAAGATTGTGTGAGTTCTTTGTCCCATCGAAGAATTGCTAAAGCGTCTTGCTGCTCTGAATCGCCTCTCCTTCTCAACTCCATGTTCACAGTTTAAGATCGATGTATTTCGTATCAGTTTCACACGAACGTATACTCGGTACACAATACGCGAGCAATGGACGATTTACCCACAATGCAAAACACGTCCCTACAATGACGTCACGGGGAAAGCGTTCTCGATCTTTGTTATCATATCGTTGGGCTTCATATTATATACCTTAGAAACACATTTTTCTGAAATCTAAGATTGCTTATTATTTTACATTTACGTTAAATGATGAAAGGTGTAAACAGGTTTTGATCGGATATCGAAAAGGAAAAAAGAAAAGTGAGGTTGCCAGATAAGTTTGCGAGAAACAAACCGAGAATCAAAATACGCCTTTTGTACTGGTTTCTAGGATGAAATTATTTCATCATATCTCAACTGGGTAACGTTGTTTTCTTGATATAAAATAATGTTAATAATTATCTACCTATTGATGTTGTGGTTGAATTAGAAAGTCTAAAGCACAGTCAGCTGGCATCGGTGTCGCTGGGTGTATATGATTGAGGGAAGTTGTGCAACCAAATTTGCGGAGTTCGCAGTTTTTCGCCGATAAAAAAATGACTAAGGCAAAAACTCACGGTTTTTCAGCATTTTTGTAATAAAGACATTATTCTCTATCAATAATCCGCCCAAAACAGGAACATTTCTACTAATTATTGTGCTTTTTTCGACGTTTTTCGAAAAACCTGCGATTAGGCTACGAAAGTAGAACATTTGGAAGGGGTGAAACGGAAGAGCATCGCCAGGCGATGGACGCGGGGCTCTTTGGCAACGACCGCGAACATATCGTGTCCAGCC